TGCGCGCTGCTGCGCACTGCGGGATGCCACTGCGCCCGCTGCCTCCAGGATCTGGCGGTCCGAGCCGGCCATCAGGTTCGCAGCGCCCTGGCCGTTGAGCTGCTGTAAGCGTCTGAGCTTGGATAACAACTTCCCTGTTTCAGCCTCTGCCCCAAGCTTCTCGATTTTCCTTCGTTTAGGATCGATTTTGACTTTGACGATGAGATTTGCCTCCTCCATTCCCGGCCTTGGCTTGCAAGCGCACTCACACTCTTAACTTAGCTGTGGATATCAGTCAGGTCTCCAGGCGAGATGGTGCCACTCATCAGGCTGAAAAAGAAGAGGTACAACATGACTGGTGAACAAAACCGAGTCTGATTGTCAACCCGCCCTTCTGCTACATCCCTCTCACACGATGTCTGCAGAGTCACTAATAATCAGTCACTGATGCGGGGACATCCCCCCACCGGAGGGCATTGTTTGGCTTTGGCATCGCAAAGCTGGCTGCTTGTGATGCTGGACAAGTTGCATCCGAAAGTTTATCTGGGCTGCGGACGCGACAGGTGGAGGCAGTTCTTCCCAAAGGAGCTGCCTTGGGAAAAAGGCTGACTTGTCAGGGACCCAACATCTTTCCAGGCCGGCTGAGAGCTTGACTCCACCTGCTCCTCAACAGGTGCTGGCTCCTCAATTACTTCGGCCTCTGCACGCAAAAGGCAAAAAAAAATGTAGTTCAAAAAATGAGTCTCTGCCGAGCCTCGTTTACAGGATCGAGGTTTTCAGCCTCCGTCTCTGACCTCGCACGTTGGCTTCTCAGAAGAGGCTCCTATAACCTCCCATGTAATCCCCATGGAGCACACAAGGCCCCGACTCTTTCTCAGACTTTTCGGGCCCTGGATCTGCGAGAGGGGTGAAGAACTCCTTCACAAGAGGCCAGTTCCGGGCTTGTGAAGAAAGTATCAATCTGCACAAACCGACGTCCTTCACCTTTTCCTCCACGATTTGCAATGGCGACCTGGGAAATCCGAGTGTTAAACCCCAAGCCACATCCGCAGTGACGCGCTTAGCATACTGAGCCAAGGACTCCGGAGGCCGTGCAACAGCCGCCGCTCGCGCAAGTGCATCTGTGCAGTCCTGCGTGGACCTCAAAGCGAATTGACAGCTTTTGTAGGAAGACGCTGGCCATAGGCCCTCATACCCTCTCCATGAGGCCGCGCTGCTCGTGCCACAAGTCAACACTGGCTGAGTCTGACCGTTTTGTGCGCGTGCCCGCCAACATGGCTGTCGGATGAAAAATTGCAGGCAGCAGGCGACAAGCCCTCACAACATGTAGCGTCTCACAACCAGGACATCCCAGTGGTACATGTGGTACCACCACTCAGCAATGAAAAGGGCACAAGAAGCTTCATGACTCCACGTGCCAGTTATAGCACCAACAGCAGCAAAGTAAAACTGCCTTCACTGAAGTTATAAAGTATGCAGGAGACCAACCGAAAATCTTTCAAGAATTGAGCCGCGGTAGCTGTTCTTGAAAGCATTGTGCTTGGGATCATGCTGCGTGCCATAACTCTTCACGAAGAACTCCATGATGTTCGTGAGGCCAGGCACCTTGCTTTTGGTCACATGTCGCATGTGCAAGGCATTCGTCAGCGCGTGTGACAGCGGCCTTTGGCAACTTGATGCCGACTTCAACATAATTCGTTGCAACGATTTCGTCGCCCTTCCAGCCTAAGAAGCCAAAAATCAACCAATTTCAGGATGATGAGACTCCCGCGAGAGCGCTGCTGATCTGGGCTCTTGTCCAGCCAGCCGCAGAGATTGTAAGCCTTGGCCAGGAACTGCATCTACCATGCAATGCCATGCAACTACAAAAAGCTCAGGCCCACACGTGCTCCGGAAAGGGAACCCAAGCTGCAAAGTGAAGATACCCTCGCCGTTTTGCAGCACAAGGTCTCCCTCCAATCTTGCCTGTAACTCGGGAGAGGGGATCTGCCCAACTTGAGAACTTGAGAACCACTTGGAACAGTCAAAGGCAGCGGACGCAGCCAGGCCTGGTAGGGACCCGATTCAGGTCTGCCGCGCGTGTCACGCAGCTGTGTTAAAAACTTTGGGGCCTTGGCATGAAGGCTGCGAATTCTACACTGAGCATGATCCAGGGAAGAACCCGCTGCACAGGCAGGAATGAAGGACTAAAAGAAACACCATTAAAGCGACGACGACAAGGACGAGAAGAAGAAGAAGAAGAAAAACACCATCAACAACATGCGCCCAGTAAGCGTTGCAAAACTTGGGGCCAATAGCGAGCAGGACCAGAAGCTGTGCCCGCTGCGGGGATGGAGAT